TACATTGGCGAAACGGGTAGACCCCTCTGTGTCCGCATGAAAGAACACCTAGCCGGCAAAAATAGACCAAATACCCCGCTAGGCACGCATAGGACCCAGAGACATAACGGGGACGACTTCGAAGTATGTGTCACGATCCTCGCACGCGAATCAAGAACACAGGCGCGAAAAACTCTCGAGGCACTCTGGATTAATTCCAGAAATCCGAAAATGAACCGCAGGGAAGAATGCCTCATTATCACGCGTGATATAGGGCAGTATATAAAACTGCTTTTCTGATGTGAGGGGCACATTATACTTCCACGTGATTTCTGTGGGGTTGGTCTCTACGTGACATACTTAGTGGAAACCTCATAGAAAGCGGTGAGTGTGCAAAGCTGTGTTCAAAGTGATTGAAATCTTGGTTTAGAGTTTCTTTGTTTGGTTATGGAGGCGTCTGGCCGAGTGAGTTGCTGTCAACTTGGCCTTTCCAGGCTCTGAAGAAGGCGAAATCTGCCGAAACGTCAGCTTAGTCGTCAACAAAGAATAGTAACACCTCGCGTTTGCTCAACAAAAATACGAAGAAAATCACATATTATCCTTTTCCAATGTTCGCATGACGTTCTGGAGGGTGGCGGTAAATTATTTTGGCGAGATGGTATCGCCTTGCCTAACTCCTCTTTTGATGTCAATGTTAATATCGCTGTAGAATGGTGATATCTTGGTTGTGAAATTGTTGTACATGTCACGAAGAATCTTTATGTACTGAGTAGGGACTCCTTGACTATCAAGGACTTCCAAGACTGCTTCTATCTCAACTGAATCAAAGGCCTTCTGGAAATCGATGAAAGTGAGACAGAGCGGTCTTTTGTACTCTCGCGATACTTCAATATCCTGTTATCGTGTGGATGTGTTTCTCGAGTGTTTCTGGAGATAAATTTCTCTTGGTGACTTTCGAACTCTGAGCTTTCATAGCGCTAGCGTGAAGTTGTTGAATGAGTCGATCGCATTCCTCGTCGATGTTATCGATAACGACATCTTTCCAACAGCCGACTAATGAATTGAATAAGTCCTAGTTTACGGTGGTTCTGGAACCTCGGTTTTGGAATTTATCGGCTTCTTCTCTTTTTCGCGAGAAATGGAACCTTGCGTGAAGGAGACGATGGTCTGATCCCGTGTAGAATTTTGGGACAACAGCGATATCGGTAAGGCACAACCTTCTATTTACTATTATGTGGTCCATTTCGTTATGGTACTCTCCATTGGGTGACTCCCATGTCCAGCGCTGAGGGTGGGGCTTCTGGAATTGTGAGTTACCATGGATTGTCTTGGTCGCCATGATAAACTCAGTCGCTCACCCTGTTCGTTCCATTCTAATCCATGGGTCTCAATGTGACGTTCTTCAGACGTTCTTCTTGGTCCAGTCTTGGCGTAGAAATCTCCAATGATGACCTTGAAGAATGTGTGGTCTTCTCTGTAGAACTTCTCCAAATCCATATAGAACGCTTCAACTTCTTCTTCGTCATAGTTTGATGTCGGCGCGTAAACGACGAAGATTGTCAAAGCCGGAATCATGAATAGTAACAAAAAATAATCTAGTTTCTTTCATGAACCAGCTTCGTTGAACACGCTCCGTTTTTGCAGATCTGCAGTTGAAGTTTAGGAATTGAGCTTTTTTCTTCTATTAGGGCAATGAAAGTGTTTGACTAAATAGATTGTGCATCAATTTGGCCCACTTCAGGCCCTGATACAACGCGAAATCCGCCGAATCGATAGCAATTGTGAATTAACTATTGCGTAAAGAACCTCGTGTTTGCTCAATAACGGTAAGGTAGCTTACTCACCATTGCGAGATTATTAGAATGTCGGTGATTAGAACTTATCTTGGTGTTGACTAGTTTGTTAATCAAGTAATTCTTTTGCCGAAGTCAAGGCTGCAGATAAGGAAAGAGTTTAATGCAGCGGAAAGGGTGCACAGGTTAGCTTCTGTCTTGACGAAGGCCATCTAAATCAGGCAGGGATCCATCATCATGCAATAAGAAAACACTTCATATGTGTTAGATTTTTTTTCTGACCATCCGGTAGTGTTGCTATCCAAATCTCTCATAGTCGTTATCATAGCTGAAGTATAAAACTTAAAGGAATAGGGTGGTGGCACTCCTGTATATGAAACATCGGGAAGAACTTTGGTGTTATTAAAAAGTATCACGAGAATTAAGATATCCTTTTTATTTCACATGACTCGTCATCACATCTACTGCACGGATTCCAGCTCTTCTTGAGTTCGGAACTGGTTTTTCAACATCTGCTAAGAATTTATTAGTAACTGGACCTTTCAAAGAGAAGAGATCTTGACACCCATTTAGAACGGAGTTTATTCTACATATTTAAGGTAGACACGATTTTTTTTTAGGAATGTTCGTTCATTTTAAAGGTTCTTTACTGTTGAAATCCACAGAGATTATTGGGGACGAAATATATTTCAGTGACGCTGAGACATTTGCAAAATTCTTGAGATCGATAGAACTAGCTGAGGGACAGGCAAAGCGGAGGCCCCGCATGGTTGAACGCGTTAGCCTCCGAAAGGACAATAGCGCGTTCGTTCTCCACCGCGACACCTGCGGTCCCGGAGTTTTGCAAATATCTCAGCATCATTGTGGTTGTATCACATACACTGGTGTGAAAAGCAGTAATAGGCAGTAAATCAAGAAGTTAAGTTAGTTCGTACTTGTGAACTTATTTTTCATTCATTTATGTTCACGTTATAATTACTTTATTTAGAAATTTCTTCGATTTCGCTATAGTAAAATGTCATGCACCGAGTGTTTTTTTGAGAAAGTAAAGTTCAATTTCAGATTTCAAAAATAAGCAGGACATTTGGATAGGTGGCGTGCCGGTGAGAGATCCGACTGAGCAATAGCGATGAGCGGCGGTGCCGGTGTCGACTGGCACGATGAGATGGATATCCCGAAAATGGAGCTGCTCAACGCTGCCTACGAAGGAAACATAACGAAGGTGACCGCCAGCGAGTTTATTTGAGCAATTTCTCAGTTTGCACGCTTTTATTGTTGATTAAGTTATTGAGTTCTAACCACTCCTTACTGTACGCCCGAACAATCGTTTGTTTATTCCCGCTGTATATTTATGCATTGATGTTGACTTCAGATGTCTTATGTTAATCTTGTACCTGTACACCTGTAGTCCCGTTGATCGTCGAGTGACTCGAGCGGGCGCCAGTAAATCTTCCATTTTTCACTGTCGCGTGCAACAGTAGCTCAGTGGGTTCTGTTTGCTCTAGGGACTCGTCGAGCATCATATCTTTCTTCTAGGCTTTTCGTGAAGAACTCTGACCATTGGGTCGGTGGTCTTCCTGCAGTGCGTTTGACATTCCGAGAAATCCAGTCAGTAACGGCTCTTGTCCATCGGTTGTTATTCATACGCATTACATGTCCGGCCCACCTTATCTTCGACTGTTTAGCGTGCGAAACGACATCTTTAATTTTTTGATCGTTGACACAGGTCGGAGCTTCCGATCGCATCCCTTACTTGTGTGAAACCGGATACTCTCAACATCACTCTTTCTACTACGCGTTCGATAACGCAGAGTGATATTTCATCGTGCTTACGCAGCGACCAGGTTTCTCACGCATACGTTAGAGCAGGAAGTACCGTTGAGTCGAAAAGGTGGGCACGGAGTCGTGTGTTCCTTGTCCTCTTCACTGCATCCTCGATTCTCTTCAAGCTGCCCAAGCCGGTCGTTTCCTTCTGCTTAGCTCTGGAGCTAAATCATTCATCATATTGATTTCTCAGCCAAAATAGACATAACTGGAGCATTAAGAGATATTCGTTCCGTTGAGCGCGAATGGAGCATGCATATGTTAATCACTTTCATTATTTGTTCCTTGTTTCCTTTAGATCGTGTTTGTTAATTGTCTTATGTCAAATTCGCAGTAACAGAGTTGTAATGCAACAACACCAGCAAAAAGCATACTATATCCTTGGAAAAATTTTTTGAATTTCTTTCTAACTACTAAACAACATAAGCGAAAAAAGAGAAAAGGTTAAAAGCCGTCACAAAGGTTCTTTTTCTTTGTCCAGTGCGATTATAAGCGAAATTTTTGGGAACAACCACTATGATGATGAGATATTTGCAAAACTTGGACTCTTGACCACAATAATAAGAAAGGCCAGAAATGAAAAGTTAAACATTGTCATTTCGGCTACAGCCTTAGCTTAACTGAGTTTAATTTGCTCCCCAGATCTACCCATTTGACGGGTGATTGCTGATGGCACCGTTAGCTAGAAAACTGACTGAGAGAAAGTCAAAGCGAGGGTCTCAATGGTGCAGGGGTAACACGTGAGTCTACGGAAAGGGTTATCATAGGTTGGGATCTGGGCTTGAGTCCGTTTTGCAAATATCTTAGCATCATAGTGGTTAGATTTCACATCATACTCTGTCATGATTAAATAGTAATAGGTAGTAAATAAAAAGCTAAACATTGTTTGTAAACAGTGGTTGTTTCTATGTTTTGATCCTACGAAAAAAATAAGCGAATACATAAGTGAATAGAATCATTAAAGGAGGTGTAAATGTTTTAAGTGCTCTAAGAGAGGGGAAAGGGGATGGAGGAAGGGGAGTTGGCTAAAATGACTTAAACAGTACCATATTTTAAACAAATATAGTTGTGAATACAGGTTGCCTTGACCAAAGGTCGTATCCTGCCACTCAATAGGTGTATGACTATATCGAACCGAGTTCACCTGCGCCATCTGTAGTTCCATTAACTATCGAATGACTCACCTTTAAGCTCCACTCTTACCCATAGCACGCGGAGGATGCTCAATGCTCATATCTGGGGCTATGTCGCAGGGTTCTTTCATCGTGGGAGTGGTTTATTCCTAGCTAGGTTTCCGGACTAAAATATTGGATTTCTTAGTTTAGCTGACTTGTGATAATTAATATTACGCTGCACCTCAGAGTCTGACAGCTAAAACATTCGTCTCCCACCATGAAGCGGTAAATAATTGAGGGAAATCTGAAACAAATGTGACTGTAAAAATTAAAACTACTGTGGAAAGCTTAAATATTTTAAGCAAGGTAGCAATGATAACCTTATATCTTTACGAGCATATATTGGACCAAGTCGTTCATAGTCATAAACGGTGCGAAAGTATATTGGTTACCAGAGTACCAGAAAATTCTGACGAAATATTTTATCGCAACATGTCTGTAACAGAACAGATAGTCGGAAGTTGTGGCAAAAATATCCTCTCTATGGTTTTCAGGTGGGTGAACTGCTTCGAATGGGAGTGAATATCGATTCATACGATGACGACCATGTCACTTCTCTACAGATTGCCGCCTTCACTGGAAATAACGCTATGGTGAGAAATTGCCACTACTGTATTTACTTGAATATTTGACTTTTATAACAGTCTCTTTCAGTACGAATAATCTTATCTGCTCCACTTTTCAACTTAATTGTTATATTCCTGGATTGGTATGATGTATTACTCATTTGGTAGTTATTTTTCCTTTTCTAAGCTGCCATACGGGAGTTTTTCCTCAGCAGTGTGAGCTCCAAACTTGGGTACTTAAGCCTTTGTATCAATAACACAACGCAACAATATTGGCGTAACAAAACCTGAAAATGCTTTGAATAGAAGAGGAAGTCTTCTACAATTCGTTATTGGAATGTTATGAAGAACAAACGTTATATAGTACTGTATCAAAAAGAATGAAAGAGCTGGACGAGAGTGCAGTAGTACGCCGAGCAGCATGAGCTGATGCATCCTTATATAGTACTCAAAAAAAGCACGGGAATGTTGCTAGGAATTTGACGGGAAGCATGTCTGCGTCGGATGGCGTGGAAGGGATAGAGAGCATTCTGTACAAGGTAGCGAAATTCAACAAACTTTTATCCGGAACATGTGGAGGAGAACGATTGAGAAAATGTGTTCACATCTTCACCGAGCTTCAACGGTGAGAGTTGAGTCTGTATTATACAATATTAGGACAATTTAACGGTCTAATGAGATCAGGAACTATATCGAAACAATGTAGCCACTTTTTTATTTCCTGCCTATTCTTTTTTTCGTGGTAGGGCATGATGTTGATTATAACCACATTGATTTTGAAATATTAGCGTATCTTGGACCCCAGAGCAAATCGAACAGCGGTTATCTATTCCGGGAACTCACGCGTTACACGCGGCACCACTGAGGTCTTCCTTCTACCTTTATCTCAGCCAGTCTTTTCATCCTTTTTACTTTTACGAATGTTTCAGCATCATTACGGTTGTACTTTGCAAAATGTTGCAAAACACCGGCCCGATACTTCAGTGGGCCATTGTATTGGCCAAACATGCTTTAGTCGTGACACTTCTCTGAAGGGCTTGACAAACACCTAGAGCTCTGTGTTTTGCGTTTCTCTAGTATAGCAGAGCGATATCCTGCACAAGTAGCTAATGTATGAATCAGTGCTTAACATAAGGAACCCTTTTTTCACGCATTCTTGTATTATTGAGCTAACATGCAGTTGGTCAAAAAAATAGTGTAAGGAGGTATTGATTATTGGTGCCGAGGTTGAGTGACAGTCTGTTTGGAAAAATAGGTGTGAAATACTTGTGAAATAGTTTCAATATATACCTGTATCTACATGAGATCTCTACCATAGTGCCGTTATACATCCAGTTACGCAACCACATCCACCTCAGTTATGACGACGTTCCTCGATTATTTTCTTATTCAGGTGACATATCTATTGGACGAAGGTGCCGATCTAGAGGCATGCAACCAGGTCGGTATGACACCATTTCATCACGCTTGTCGTGAAGGCCGAATGACTGTTGTCGAAACGCTGCTCCAACGAGGTGCCGACATTCATCGGACCACGTGGGCGATTATCACTGAACTGTTTTAAGATTTTTCTTTAGGATTTCTTAACAGCAGTTTTCCTCACTATCTCGACATTTACCAAATTCAGTCTTTGCTTTTCCAGGCTTGAAACGATACTTATATATCAATAATGTGCTAACGGCGGTCTGAATATAAGTAAGAATTAGGCCGCTTTTTTTCGTGATATCTGCGTGATGTTAGAATGATAATGACAATGATAATCAGTAAGATGCTCATCTGAGACTTCAGCACCTTCCTCATCTACTGAAAGGAAACTTGTAATCAGCAGAGTGCATATCAAACGATAAGACGAGCGTTCTAGAAGGATGAAACTAAAACCTTAATTTTGTGAGGTATTAAGTGCCAGGTGAGGCGTCTGATCAAGAATTTCTCTTACCAGTGTAAGCTTCGTGAAACGGTTAACAACCATAAGTAGCCCACAGAACACTTTAAACATCGTCAGAACAACCGAACCGTAATGCTGCAAGGTGTTATCCATGTATTCAGTTGCTAGCACTAATCACCATGCTATTCGATAGACTTATTTAAGCGCAAAACCTAATAACTTCTTTTCTGCTAATAAAGGGACCTAAAAACCAATTAACATCGCCATTTATCATTTGCCCCTCCTTCACTGTGTCTACAACAAATCTCGCCCTCGTCACCCAGTAAATGTGCATGTCACCTTTTTAAAACGGTAAACCGAAGCAAGTATTAGCGTTTTTCTTTTATTGCTGATTGCTGACTGCACCGTTAGGGTAGAAAGACTGGCTGAAAGAAAGGCCAAGCGAGGTGCTCAGTGATGGCGTGCATAACACGTGAATAGCCGGAAAAGATAATCGCGGTTTGATCTGGCCTGGGTTCAAAGTTTTGCAAATATCTCAGCATCATTCTAGTTTTTCCTTTATTCCTTATGGTGGGACGACTCGATTATATAGGAATACCAAGGAGCTAAGACGATTCGGTCGGAGTTTGTTGCTCGCCTTTGTGTACGCCACGCGGGACTTCTTGTAGGTAGCAGTCACAATGCCGGAAACAAAGTTGGGTAATTAAACCCTTTATCATAATTATACAACAAACATAGCAATACAACTTTACAGATAATGCAGCAATGGTACGGGCTATGAGTAGGCGTAACCTGATCACTGGTGTTCAGGTTGCTTGTGACTGAAGGGATTGGGATAACAGTACAACTGTGTAATTAATGCAACGATGATACGGGTAATGAATAGATGCAGCCTGGTCACTGGTGTTTATGTTGCTTATGAGTGAAGAGATTGGCATAACAGTGGAACTGTATGATTAACGCAACGGTAATACGATGATGTGTGATATTTGGCGATATGTAAGCTGGGTGGATAAAGGCGGAATTGAAATGGTCACAAGTGATACACTTGAAGGAATTAACGCGGACACTGGTGTTGGAGCACTAAGGAATTGAGGGACCGGAAGCAGACCGGTCGAACGCGGCTAAGATTTCAGGACCAGTCCTATGGGCTGTCTGTATTACATCTGTAGTGGGTGGAGCTTTGCCAGAGAGAACTAAAGGCGGCGTCCGGAGAGGGGTTGCATGTGGAAGGGTGCAGGTGTCTTTTCGGAGACTTTTTTGGAACGACAGATGCTGAAAAGTGCATTCAGCTGACTGCTGCTGATTCCCTTTCCAGCCACCTGCGAGGCAATTGCATGAAACGGTTGTTAAGAGATGATTTACCGAATGTGCAAGAATAGATGTATGACGATTACGAATAGACAGGTATTGTAGAAGGCATAAGGTTATAATTGTTCTACATAGAGAACATTCCAATATTAGTGAAGAATGTTCTCTATATTCCTTATTATTTTTATTTATTTTATTTGTATGAAACGTTGTTCTCATTAATTTAAGAATAAGAAAGTTTTTAACTTAATTTTAGATTTATGGGTGCGACGGCGCTAACTCTTGCTGCTGCTGGAGGTGCGTTCAAAAAATTCCTCAATATGTAACCAAGCCTATTCCGCTCTCCGTTTGGTTTCTTCATGATAGGGTACTACTAAAATCTTTTTCATCTCTTCCTACGTCGCTCTAGCGCACCAAAACACCCTTACCAGTTGGCTTAACTGGCTTGAGCTACAGGCGCGAGAAGCAAGCATCACACTTTTCGAATGAGGCCCTTTATTTCTAGCACTTCTGGCGAGGATATAACCCATAGATGACCAAGAGCTCATTGTGTTGCTATAGTATCTTAACGGAAATAACTGCAAAACATAAAAACCAGGAAGGCATGGAGCACTAGATCACATATGTACCCACTTTTGAAGGATTGATGTAGTGTAAGACAGTTCAATAAATATCTGAGTTCTCATTAAACTTTCCGTTTACTTTTCCTTAACGTGGTTTATTATTTTTTTATTGAAGCACACCTACACATCGTGAAGAAGTTGGTATCACTGCGTCTGGAAGTCTCACCGCCAACTATGGGATTGTGTCCGACACCACTCATAGCGGCTGCATTCCGTAGTAGTCCACAAATTTGTGGATTTCTTAATCATCGGTAAATGTGCTATAAATGGCTTGCTGACAATACGACTTTCTAGTGATTAAAGTGGTTTTAAAATACGGCCTTTTTTTGTCCAATTAAGACATGAACTTAATAAACTTTTGTGTGTTATTTTACAAACGTCTTGCAGTGGAGCACCAATCGACGAGACCTTGGACTCCTTACTTGGTCTTTCTGCACTTTCATGTGTGTTGATGTGTTCGTCTACAAGCGTTTTTTGTGCTCTTCTGGACCTCGGAGCTGATCCGACTAAAAAGTTAGCTTTATCAGTATTTTGAACTCGTTGATTTTTCACTGAATATCTTTCTTTTCGTCTAGGAAGGTGCGCAGGTCATCGGTTGAAAATGCTCTAAAGACACGCATCAGAAATTTGCCGTCTTCAAAAAAAAAACCAAAAAAAAACTTTTTTTTTCTAAATCAAAGTCTATGAATAAATTTGAATCATTGATGGATCAACTGTTAAAGAATCGTCTGTACTACATGGAATCTTTGAAGAATAACCAATGAACGGGATTCCTCATCTGTTCCAGGCTCTCACTTTATGTTATTTCATCCTTATTTCAATAGCCCGTCTTCACTAAGAATTGTGCGTGTTCCATTCTTGACTGGTATTTTGCTGATTGGGAAGCTTATTTGTTCCTAGATTTCCGAGAGAACAGTACTAATTAGCTCCTAGGCGGTGGAAACATTTAATGAACAGACAGATAAAATTCACCGGAAGACATAAAACTTTTCACATTTTATCTTTATTTTGACTAGTTTTAATGAGGGGTTATTTAAGGGTAGTTCGCCGCCTCAGGTTAATTTTATGGTTGCTTTAGAATCTGCTTAACAACCCTTCCTATAGATATCCTCGTCTTATTTACATCACTGAAACGCCTTTCTTTGTTCTGCGGTCTTCCAAAGAATCTCACATCTTTCCTTCGGTTTATCTTCTTTTTCCTCTCGTTGTGCATTTTTAAATGAAGCCGTCTTTTTTACGCTCCTTTCCTTAAATGGTATCGATGGATCCACGAGAAAAATCAGTACATGTGTCGTTTTAACTTGTAGTGACTTATGTTAAGGCAATATAGTTCGCACAGATTTCGGCCGTTGAGAGATAAACTCGACTATGTCAGAAAAAGGGCACGTGTGGCTCAGTGGTTGGAGGCGCAACTGCGACACACACGTGGAATCGATCCTCGCGCCTATGGTTAACCAAGCCCTCCATCCTTCCGGGGTTGGTACTCAGCTTTATCTGAGAGCATATCAGCACTGGCTCGATACATCGGTAAGGCACTGCTAGTCATTGTAAAGGCCAGATATGCATTCAATCACCTCCAACGATACCTGTGAAGTCGAATGCACGGCACATCCCTCAGGGATTGATCAACGCCGAGAATTTTTTTTCAATGTCAAAAACACCAGATTATTTTCTAAGGCATGTTGATGGGATTTGTTTCGTACTAGAATTTTATTTCTCAATATTCCTTATTTTTCCAGAAAAATATTTTTTGTCTTCTAAACTCATCTTCTTCTTATTACATTATTCTTCGGGTGAAAAACGTAGGTGAGAACCATAAAAATATAACTGATGCTAACTATCTGTTCCATGAATACGACTGATCATATTTCAGGACCCTTAAGAAGAAAACTGCTGCCGAGTTAGCTGAGCAATTCAAACGGCATGATGTGCTAGCGATACTGGCCGATAAAAGCCGAATCAGACACCATGGTTATTTCTAGTAATAAAAATATTAAATGTCTTTTAAGTGACTTTAACGTTCAGATCGGATCGCCGTCGGTGACATTCGCCAACTGATCGTCGACAATCAACTGGACTGCGCAGAGTTTGAACGCGGAAAACAGACGCCGCTTGCCGAAAGCGCGACACCGCTCATGTTCGCGGTCGCCGTTGAAAACGAACGAGCGGTACCAATTTTTTTCTTTTCGCTAAAAATGAACCCATTCATTGTAATTGAAGTTACGAAAATTGTGATCATCAATGGAGTTCTGGTCCCTTGGTAAACTTTGTATCGGTTAAAAGTACAGCGATTCCAGCTCGTACTAATCAGCCAAAGTAAAACACCGTTCGACTTTACATATTCTTTTCAGAAAAATTCATTTTTATTATTGTTTCTAGATCATTTTTTCGTAGTCGAAGTTCCGAAGCTCCTATCGTCAGCACGGGAACGACTGAACAAGCAGTTAACGATCCAATGGAAACATAGTGATGTTCAAGAACGTGCCGTTGAAGTTGCCATGCTCGCAGTTCGTCCACATGATCATTCTTGTGAAACATAATACCTCGTAGTTATCGGCTGTATATCACCTGTATGAGCCATCATTTTTCGTTAACATGCGACCGTGTCGAACGGGAGCCAATAATTCTTCTATTTCTCCTTGTGCCTGCAGCAGTAGTTCAGAGTGTTCTGCTCGCTGTAGAGAATCATTGAACATCGTATCATTCTTCCAGGGTTTTTGTGGAGAAGTCTGACCATAGGGTTTGTGGTCTTCCTGCTGTGCGTTTTAGATCCCGAGGAATCCGGTCACTAACGGCTCTTGTACATCGGTTATAGTTCCTGCGCATTACGGGTTTGGCCCAGTGTACTTTTGACAATTGGGTACGTAGAACAGTGTCTCAGATTTTTGACCAATCACGTAGATCCGAGCTTCAGATTCCTTCCCTCACTTGTGTGCACGGGATAGTCGTAGCATCATCCTTTCCTTTGCACGTTCAACAACGCTGAGTATTCTTCCATCCTTCCTAAGCAGCGACCAGGTCTGTGACGCATAGGTTAAAGCAGGAAGAATCGTCTACTCGAAGACGTGGAAACGAAATCGGATGTTCTTTGTTTTCTTCACTACATCCTCGATGCTCTTGAAATCTCCTAGACACTCGCTTCTCTTTCTCATCTTTAGAGATCAGTTGTTCGTCATGTCAATTTCCCGGCCTAGATAGATGTATGTAGATCATTTAGAGATAGCGATTCCGTTGAGGGCATGAGAAATCAACCCATTCCTCATGAGCATCATTTTTGTGAGATTTAGCAGAATAGCAAGCTTTCTACAGGTTTTATCAAAGTCGGTAAGCAATCGTTCCGCTTGGCTAATGTTTGCTGTTATGAGAACGATGTCATCAGCAAAGCGAAGATGTTGTAACTGGTGACCATGGATTTTCATTCCCACTTTTTCCAGTGTTCGCATAACGTTCTCGGTGATGGCGATAAGTAGTTTTTGCGAGCTGATATCGCCTTTTCTGACCCTTCTTTTGACGTTGATGTTAATATCGTTCTGGAATGGTGATATCTTGGTTGCTAAATTTCTATACAGCTCACAAAGAAGGCTTATGTACTGAGTAGGGACTCCCTGGCTGTCCAGAGCTTCCATGATCTCATCTAATTCCCAGGTTTTTTTAAATCGATGAAATTGAGGCAGAGCGGTCTTTAGTACTCTTACGATACTTCAGTGAGTCTTGTTCTCGTGTGAATATGATCCATCCTACTAAATCCTTCTCCAAACTCTAAACAACAGACAGCGAGCAGACTTGGCGATAGTAGCGAATAGTGACCCTAACGAGGTGCTGTTGCTGATGCTCCACTGATTAGAAATCTTACGTTCTGACACGTAATGTGGGAAGAGTTGAGCACGTAGTAGCTGAAGGTGCTCTGCAATACACACAGAATCGATCGGTGGATCTAACTGGTGTCGCAGTATCACCAAGCCTTCTGTACCTGACTCACCTGGAAGGTTAGCAGCACTGTGTCCATACATCACTGGGTCATCGCAGGTCGTTGCATCGGCCAGATTCGGTTATCTCTGCGACTAAATTTATGAAGTTGAGTGCAGTCCCTCTGGGATTGTTCATCGCCGGTTGCCTTATTCCTTTTCTTAACCCATGAAAAGGTGACGCAGTGTGTTGATATGAACTCGCGGAAGGTTTTGAGTGATGTTCTCCATTGAGAGGGTTGGCGGTGGAACACCAGCTGAGACCAAGCCTTGGGATTGCATTCATGTCTGAAAGAGTAGGACCAGCAATCGATCTCCGTTCGTTACTCTACCGTAATACATAGGTGGTTGTTTCAACATCTACTCCACACAAGAAGAGATGAAAAAATGTTTTGTGTTATTGAATGAGCAGTCAGAATATATTAAGTGTACCTGTGAGGAACCGAAAGAAAACTGGCTCCTATTTTTGAACGCTCAAATTAACCTATCCGGAAATGGATACATCACCAAGTTGTATAGAAAGCTAAGGAGCGAAGATATACTAGTTCATTAACTTTCCCATCACACTTCTGTCATAAAAAGGGCACTTGTGAGAAACAAGCCTTGAGCAACCACCATTGTCTGCACAATAAGAGAGCAGAAAGAGATTCTCTGAAATTGGCGCGACAAATAACGTTTTCAAATGGCTACGAAATCGTAGCTCTTCGGAATGGCCTCAGAAGAAGGACTATGAATCCAAACGATCTGCTTGGCGTGAGTGAGGTCCCGTTTGTCCTACTCTTCATTTCCAATAAGGTAAGCAAAGCTATGAAACATTGCTTGAAAAGGGCAGGTCTAGAGAATTTGGTAGCAGTGATTGAATTACTATCGAATACATTACCATGCCAGCTAGTTCGTAAGCGTTTGTAAACAGCCTATGCACGACACATAATTGCATTATATGCCGTAACGGTAGAGACGGTGACTGCATGCGTTCGGATACGGTTTATATGGTGTCTTGTAAAGGTGCGAGGAAGAATACATTGGCGAAAAGAGTAGACCACTCTGCGTCCGTATAAACGAATTGCGCGCTTCTATGATAGGTGTTGGTCGTCGTGAAAAACTCGGACAGCCGCTCATCCTGCCATTCATTCTAATCCGTGAATCCAAAGTGACGTTCTTCAGGCGTTCTTCTTGGTCCAATTTTGGCATTAAAATCTCCATTGATGACCTCGAAGAATTTATGCTCTTCTCTGTAGAACTTCTCCAAGTCCATACAGAACGCTTCGACTTCTTCTTCATAGCTTGATGTCGGTGCGTAAACGGCGAAGATTGTCAAAGCCGATATTGATCTACATCTCTTCAATCGTAAACGTCCGATTCGGGTTGTTAGTGGCATGAATGAACTAATGTCCATGGACAAACTCGTGTTGACAAGAAAGCCGACGCCGCCGACTCCTCTACTATCGCATGTTCCGAGGAACAGTTTTTTTTCCGGTGTCATAGACGGCGTTCAATATACGGGGTGTTCTCGTCTTAGCCAGTCCAATGACGTCGTTCCTTGTCCTTCTTGCCTGCCTAGTCAAGTCCTCTATCGAGGACTCAGATGTAAGTGTGTGTGCCTTGTGGTAGAGTTCGTCACCTTAGTCCTTCCATATTTCGGTATTCCAGAATGGTGTTGGGTTTCTAGCAGCCTCTCCGTACTTGGCTTATCGGAGGCTACTTTGAGGTCAGGGGAATAAGGCCAATTTATTTGCTGTGTTTGGTCTTTGATATCAATTCGTCGTTTTCACATACACTGCATCCCATGAATGAAGATATGAAGATGTCTATGTAAAGATAGAAGGCATATGCTAAATTGGCAAAAGAAAGACGAGGATTCCATCTTCTGAACTCTCCTGCGTTTCAGCAAAGCACAAAATTGCAACGATCCGCTTTCAAGAAAATTCGCCATCTGGTGACGGAACTCCTGACCTCGTGACTAAGCGGCTAAAGATCCCTGTGAGGAATATCCATGGATTCATTCATCAGTAGCACTTAATTACCAATCATTTCCATATACACTTGGAGCGATAAAATAAAGAACCTTCTGGAAGCCTGTGTAGTCCACTACGTGCCATATTGCTTCGTGCTGATGCAGAAGCCTTGAGAATTTTTTTGAAAGTTTGTACTCAACCTAAAATTATTTTAAGGAAGCTTGTAGCAACCTTCGAGTATTTGCGAAGAATCTCTTTTTTACCAACGCTTCATTAATTGGGCTATTGTTTTTTATTCTCTTGATTGACTAAGATAGCACTAGGTTGTTATAGAAGCTTCTAGTGGGTCAATGTTTCGGCTCTCATCAAGGCGGCTCAGAAGAAGAGGAAAGCTTCGAGACGTTAGCCGAATAAAAGTTCTCATAAAAATTTTGTTTTGGCTTAACTATCCGAGTAAATACTGATTAATTATGCCAAGGTTAACGGAAACTAGCTTTCTGAGATAGTTGGTTTTTTTCAAAACTATTGACCTTTCTCTAATTGAGAACGTTCTCGTAAAACCTTAAACATATCATAGGTTCGACGATTAGTCGATTTAAGAGTGGAAGTCAACGAAGCAGAATCACGTCATGGTCTCACTGCGTTACAGATGGCATCACTATTGAGGTTGGTGATGAGGGTCGAAATTCCATTTAGCCGTTCCAGTGCGCATTCATATACTTCCAGGTTCGATGGAATAGCTTTGGCGTTGCTGATGAATGAGGCGCGAACCAGTGATCTCAACTCGTTGAATATGTCTGCATATGATTTGTACATTTCTAGCACGGGTATTACAAATTCATAAATGATATTAAAAAAGCGATTATTAGCTAATTCATAGTTGATCTACGGAAAAGCCGAAATATCCGAAACAGATCGCGTTCAAAGAACACCTCACTGAGACTGACCTCATCTACTGTATCACCTGTATCACCTGTAGTTCCGTTGATCGTCGAGTGACTCGAGCCGGCGCCAGTAAATCCTCCATTTCTCCTTGTCGTGTAATCCAGTGGGTTCTGCTCGCTCAAGGGACTCGTTGAGCATCATACCTTTCTTCTAGGCCCTTCGTGAAGAACGCTGACCATCGGGTCGGTGGTCTTCCTGCAGTGTGTTTGAAATCCCGAGGAATCCAGTCACTAACGGCTCTTGTCCATCGGTTGCTATTCATACGCATTACGTGTCCGGCCCACCTTATCTTCGAGTGTTTGGCGTACATCTACTGTAGCTTCTCCTATCTAAATACTTATGTGGATAGTTGGACGGTCCGTCTTCACGAGTTGGCGGACCGCAGCACATTTGCCATTTGTTTCTTTCCCTCGTAATTGTCGTCCATGGTGGTGGTTTTACTCGAGTATGGAGGCGCATGCGGATCTCGTACCGTGATCTGCAAATGGCTGCACTTGCGTGTTCAGGTGATTAACTTCGTTTACGAACACGTCCGCCCAACGTGTAGGTGGTCGTCCTAGGGGAAACCTGCATTCTCGTCGAGTCCACTCTACAGTTCTTTT